AATGACGTCCCATTGACGTCATATTTATAGGGAAGAGGCTCAATACGGTTTATGAGGGTCAATACGGTCAACATTGAAATTTTGAACTAATACGGCCGTATTGAATTCAATACGGCCGTATTGAAGTTCAAAAAACCTCAATACGGCCGTATTGAAGTTCAGTGCGGCCGTATTGAAGTTCAGTGCAGCCGTATTGAATTCAATGCAGCCGTATTGAAGTTCAGAAACTTCAATACGGCCGTATTGAGTTCAGTGCGGCCGTATTGAAGTTCAAAATGTTCAATACGGCCGTACTGAACCTCTGGGAGGCCGTATTGGGCTTCATTCCTCCCACTTTTCTTATTTTAGCTATCCTAAGACCTCTAGACCTATAGAGAACCTTCCTTGGGCCTTCTGGAAGTCCTTCTGGCTGATCTTCCTTCAGTCTTCGAGAGTCTTCAAGCTTTATTTCCGACCCGGACAATTTTAGGGGTCTACAACACTTATCAGGAACTTTATTTCCTTTTATTTCTCATTGTATATTGGTTCTAAGGTAGGTTACTTGGGAACTTTGACTCCATTTAACCTAACCTTGAAGTACATTCTTTTTCTATTTTTTAATAGTAAGAGTGGGGCTGGCAATTAGCAATGCTTGAAGGTATGATTAGTAATTGGGCCTAGGAAAATTTTTACATATTAGACTTGTTTTGCTTCTAATTTTTCAAGGATTTGACTTAGCTAGGTCTCGCCAAAAACCGGTTTGGAGCAAACTAACCTAAATGGCCGCCTAGCCTTAGTTCTCATTTTTGGTTGAATTTCCTCTTCACTCACCTAAGCTTGAGAAGCTTGTGCTACAAGCTTCTCCTTAGCTTGCTTCCCAAGCAAGCTAAGTGAGAAGCTTGCTCCATAATTTTCTAGACTCACTTGGACAGTCAAGTAACCTTACCATGGTTCCTAGTGAACCATGGTTAAGGTTAGCTTGCTCCTTAAGCTACCTCTCCCCATATATTTGTAAACCTTACCTTATACCACACTTTTGACATATATGCGAATAAGAATTCAGAAATTCTCTCTCATTCAAGAGTCTCTAAAATCGTGAGAATTTTCCTTCTCCTAGAAGCTTCACAAAGGAACTTCTCCTCTGTGCTTAGTTCCTCAAGTTTCTCTCCTTCTAGAGAAACCGAACCTCTTTGAGTTGCATCTTCAAGCTTTTAAGCTTGAATCTTATTCATTCATCCATTGACGTGAAGAACCTTAAGAGAAGAAGGGATTTGGACAGTTCAACTTGAAGAAACAACAATCTTCTTCAAGATGTTCCATCACTAAATCAGAGCAATTCGTATATCATAGCAGGTTCACATATTATTAATGTACTACGGCTCTCACCCTTAGTATATGCTCTCCCCTTTGTAATCATAAAAAAGAAATAGATGAATTTCGAAGAGAAATTTCATACCAGGATAAATAACATAACAGAGCGAGATCATACATATCAAAACCATAACTTTGAGTAGAGCATTCCATACATCAAAACAATAACATTGGATGAAAAATGTATATTGAATTGCATTGAATTAGAAATGTATACAATGAGAAGAATATATACAACAGAATAAATAAAGAATACACCCAATTATTCTCCCCTGACTTGGTTATCCCTAAGCCAGTTTATACAAATTATTTTGTCCTCCCTAAAGTGATCATGAGGACGAAGGTGGATCCCTGGGAAGCTTAGACGCCATCAAGTTGAACAAATAGTCCAACTTGCTGTCCAGATCTACTCTGAATTTGTTGAATGTCTCTATAGAGACATATTGATGTGCATGTTCAAACATAGATGGAAGAGCCTTAGGAGGGGTAGATGCTACAATTGGCTTAGCATAGATAGGCTCAGACGTGGGTGATTCAGACATTTCCATTTTAGAAGGAGCATCCCAAGGCATAGGCATGCCTGGTTTCCACAAGGGAATGTTCTTGCACCAGTCATAGATGGGAGCTTTATACCATGAGTCTGTAACTACCTTCCATTCATCTTTATAGAGATTTATGTTGAATAGCGCAGAATGGATGAAGTATTCCTTACTGAGAGTGTCCAGGTTTGGCTCGCGTCTTTCATTCCGAAGAAAGGCGGCAGATGTGTCAGAGAAGTGCATTATCTTGCATGGAGACATCCAATGATATCCACGTAGCATAAGTCTCTTTCACTTTTCTTTGTCTGAAATACTAAACGAATTGGCCTCCTAACTGCACCTATGCATGAAGTTTTGATAATGCTTCTCAATGTTGTCTTTAGTGCATTGAAGTGCGTTTATAGGGTCTTGTGGCTTGTCCAAACTTACCCCTGGATAGTGGCAAACCTCAAACCTTGATGGTTTGGGCACTGGTCCAAGATGAAGTGCGGGATCCTTCATCTTGTTTTGATCCACTGGAGGAAGACGAGGGCAAATACGGTCAGGGTTGTCGCCACCGGCCCGAAACGGGCTTTCGGCATTCGCGAAGGATGGATGGACTCTTTTATTTGTTTAAAAAATATGGATTGCTAGAATGACTTATTCTCAAACTGAGACCTTGTCAAACGAGCAATTTTATTAAAAGGCTCACCAATCCATGTTAATCCCAAGCGGGACCCTCCATGGATTAGCGGTTTTCATAAAAAGGAAGGGTTCATGGAGTCGCCACCAATGTTTTACTCAAAACATTGGAAAAAGAAGTTTAAGGCAATCGATTCAAAAATCGACTTCGGCCATGACAACCAGAGTCGGGTAAGGGAGTCGGTTACGCGTGGGGAAGGTGTTAGCACCCCACAGCGCCCCTTTCGGGTTCCCTATGACAGATTATTTCTAAAAATAATAGTGCGAAATTACTAAATTACCCCTATTTATTCTAAACAATTATAACTTAACTATCTACATGATGACAGTTAAATATACACACAGAAAGCAGTAAAAGGAAGGTCTTAAGAAGAAACCTTTGAAGCGTGCTTTTATATTCAAGTAAAACTGGGAAGCTTTTTGGCGTTCCCTCGCTCTACAAGCCCGCTCGCTCCCTCCTAGAAAATTTTAACTATGGAAATCCGGAGGATTTCCCTTCGACTCAGTTCGAGACTCAAGCAAAAAGCTCAGAACTCGAGAACTTTGTCGGATCAACTCTCCGAGTGATTTCTAGGCAGAGCACTGCTCAAAAAAACCCAGAATACTCAAGAAGAGGGTTAAAACTCAGTGTAAAAGTGTAGAATGACGTCCAAATGACGTCTTATTTATAGGGAACAGGCGCAATACGGGCCCTGGAGTCAATACGGCCCGTATTGAAGTTTTGAACTACAATACGGCCGTATTGAATTCAGTACGGCCGTATTGAAGTTCAAGAAACCTCAATACAGCCGTATTGAGTTCAGTACGGCCGTATTGAAGTTCAAGAAACCTCAATACGGCCGTATTGAGTTCAGTGCGGCCGTAGTGAAGTTCAGAAACTTCAATACGGTCGTATTGAGTTCAGTGCGGCCGTATTGTAGTTCAAAATGTTCAATACGGCCGTACTGAACTTTTGGGAGGCCGTATTGGGCTTCATTCCCTCCATTTCCTTATTTTGAGCTATTACAAGACCTCTAGACCTACAGAGAATCCTCCTAGGGCCTTCCATGAGTCCTTCTGGCTGACTTTCCTTCAGTTCTCGTTCTTGAATGCGCTTCGTCTAATGCTCGATCATTTTCCTTCTTGTGCTATACTTGGCTTCGTTTGACCTTTCCATCTGATGCTTGAAGCTTTCCTTCCTTTGTCTTGGTTCTAGTATAGGAAGTCGCATATGCTTTGTTCTTCAACTTTCCTGTACTTATGTTTTTCCGAAACACTAACACACATGTTAAAAATAACAATATGTATTATATTTGTCTCATTCAAAACTTTGCTGGGAATTGCTTCGTCTAACTTAACAGTTTGTTATGGCAAAAATTTGAATTTGGAACGACCTATTCCAAATGAATTTTTTGTTTATAACAACCTAGGTTAGAATAGCCCATTCTGGATTTGGAATAGTCCATTCTAACCTAGGTTTTTATGCCTTTTTAATGTTTTGGAATTGTTTGTTCTAGTTTGGGAATGACCCATTCCAAGTTCTTATTTCAGCCTTTTGTGCTTTTGGGCTTCTTGATGTTGTTCCAGTCTATTCAGGTGTCATATTGGACATTCAAAGTTTTCTTGTCTTGCTTTGGATACCTAGGAAGAAATTGGGTGTCTACAATTTCTCCTCTTTACTTATACTTTGGATGGCTATATATTGCTTTTCCAAAGTCAAGTAAAGACATAGACATTTCATCTAGATATTCTTTCTATTTTTTCGTATAGGTGCCTCCACATCTCTTCTTTAAGATAGATGGGCTTGCCCGCGTCCTTGTTCCTTGGAGTAATTGAGTGTTGGGTTACATGCTCTATTGGGGAATAAGGATGGAAAAATGTACCATCTCAACCTTTAACTTCATACGGATGCTTTGTACTGCTTCTACTTGCCTCGAGATGATGAGGTGAAGATCTTATAGAGTTCACTGTAGAGTCAGTATGTTCTAAGATCAACCTCTCGATGTTAGACTGATATTAAGACTTCAACTAGCCTTTTTGTGAGTGTTGATGAGTATATTCTAAGCTCGGCCTCTCTAGGCTGGACTGACATTAAGGTTTTAGTCAGCCTTTTCTGAGTGTTGATGAGTATATTGTGAGTTGAGCCTCTCTAGGCTAGATTGACATTAAGGCTTCAGCTGACCTTTTCTAAGTGTTGATAAGTATATTCTAAGCTAAGCCTCTTCAGGCTGGACTAACATTAAGGCTTCAGCTGGCCTTTTCTGAGTTTTGATGAGTATATTTTTGAGCTTAGCCTCTCTAGGCTGGACTAACATTAAGGCTTTAACCGACCTTTTTTGAATGTTGATTAGTATATTCTAAGCTCAGTCTCTCTAGGCTGAACTAACATTAAGGCTTCAGTCTACCTTTTTCAAGTGTTGATAAGTATATTCTAAGCTTAGTCTCTCTAAGCTGGACTGACATTAAGGCTTCAGTTGTCCTTTTCCGAGCATTGATGAGTATATTCTAAGCTCAACTTCTCTAGGTTGGACTGACATTAAGGCTTCAGTTGGCCTTTTCCAAGTCATGGTGATTCTTATGAAGGAAATAGGTATATTATGAGCTCAGCCTCTCTAGGCTGGACTAACATTAACGCTTTAGCTGGCCTTTTTTGAGTTTTGATGATACTATTTTTGAGGAACATGATAGTTTCGTCGACTTTGTTGTTCATAGGATGCCCTTGGGGATGTTGGGCAAAGGATGCTTGATGTGCACTTGTTTTGGATCTGAGTTTAACAAGATATGGGTGATACCCTTGTTGTGTGAGTATTGTGTCGCCTTTCCAAGCGTGGTCACTAGGGAATGGATGAGTGGTAGAGACTCTAATGTTGCCCCTGTCATGTGAGTATCATGATCCTTCTCCTGACGTTTCATTTGCGATGGAATATGTGGCTTGAAGATGCGTGGTTGAGTTGTAGATGGTTTTGATCTTCATTGGATTTCTTGACTTAAACACCAGGTGGGATTATTATTATGGGGAGACACTTCCCTTTACTTGTGGATGAATCCCCCGTGCTGAGGATTTTTGATGGTATCCTTACTTGCATGGACATGAGATGATGAGCAAAGAATAGGACCACTGGTATCGAGAGCCTTGGTTCTTCAAGGGTACCACTTTCTTTATCTCTAAAAATATTCGGTCATGTCATGTCTTCCTTACATGTCTCCTAAGTGTGCCTAAATGAATCATCATCATTGCCATATTTTGATGATCCATAAATCTCTTCTCATGTGTTGATTCATACCATATGTTCTTTGTGAATCATCTTGGCATTTTAGGCTTTCTTATTTAGGTTCTTGCCTTTTTCTTTAAATTTTTGAGTTGCTGGAAATTTTGGGCTGCATGTTATACATTAATGTTTTTATTTTTTTAATCCATCCGGTTTTGTCATGAGCTTGTCTCTTTGAACTACCTTAAAAAAAAATTCCAAGTT